GAGAGAGAGAGAGAGAGAGAGAGAGAGAGAGAGAGAGAGAGAGAGAGAGAGAGACATGAAACAAAAATGAGACGCCATCGGCGAGTGTTGCTGTGCGCCACGGCGTAGCCGTGGCGGGGTCCACTTGTTTATTTAAAGTTTTTGCTTCCCCTCAGCCGACGGTGTGAATATGGCTGCATTAAGCAGGTGAAGGGATAAGTGCGTGAAGGAGGGGGGTGGGGGCCAAACGCAACCATATTTTTCCTTTCTGTTTTTTTTTTTTTTCCCTTTCCTCCCTGCAAAGGTGGCTGCTCTAGGAGCATGCACACACCCACATTCTCCCTCGTTTCCACAATGTTCATAAACTGTTTGTATACGATCTCATGTCATCTTCAACAGCGTTACCATACAACAGTGGCAGATGTGCGTTATCTGACGGATGCCAGATGATCTACATCATCAGTGTGCTGTCTGCACCCCCTGCATATGTCTGTAATCCTTTTTCTTTTTCCACTCTGAAGTATGCAGAGACTTCTCCCTCTCTCCTCCCTGCTGCAACTTCCAATATACATGCAAAGAGAGAGAGAGAGGGACCCCAATGAGCTGCTACCATCCATCTGTTTGCAGGGTATATTCACCTCACCACGAGAGATTCCTTGAAATTATGGTGGTGGACGATTAAGCAGGAGTGGTGGGGAGTCGAGGAGCGGGAAAGCAAATGTATGTCATCCTTTGATCCATTTAGGCGGGGAGGAGAGGCGATTTGCTCAGAGCAAAAGCCGAAGGAGGCAGGAAGATCAATAGCAAAAAAAAAAATGTCAAAAATGTACGGAGAGACAATGAGAGAGAGAGAGAGAGAGAGAGAGAGAGAGAGAGAGAGAGAGAGAGAGAGAGAGAGAGATGATTGTAAACTGGAAATGGTCGAGAAGTCGCCCAGAGCAGGAATCTCAACTCGTAGACACCAGATCAGTAAAAACACTCATCATATAAACATTGAAGCTCTGGTACGTGTCACCCTGACGCGTTTCGCTGCCAACGCACACCTGGCAGACTCTTTAGGGAGCTCATACTGATCATCTAGAGCTCGTAATACAAGGATCATCTTATGAACACAAGATGGCAAATGTTTCTCACACCCTCCCTTTATAGGCTCCACTTAGCACATCCTCCATACTCCCTACATCCCTTGTTGTTTCCTTCA